ATTGAATGCTGTCTGTCACTGTTTTTAATCATTTATGTGCATAACTCTATGGCAGTTAATGCCATGCACTGTGTAATGTTTTATATAGACAGTTAGGTTTTCCAATTAAAACAGCATCATTGTTTTATAAAGTATATAGTATAGGTTAATAGGGTAAGTATTAAGGGCTTCCTTTTCGCTAGAGGAAACAGCTGGTGTACGTACAGTAACACGGCGAAAATTTTGACATTTTTTGTAAACTGTATTTATGAAAAAGGACTGCACTGATGCAGATATAACAATTTATCGAAAAACACACACCTTGGCTTAATCCTCGCTCTGTGATGCCGCAGTCTGTGATGCTTCAGTTGAAGACCGCGCTGAAAGACGTTGCGGAGCCGAAGTCTGCCGCTGTTGTCATATAAAATTTAAAGGGGACGTGGCCGATCACCAATTTGTGTAAAGTTTATGGAGATTTTTTAGGGGGGCTGAGTACAAATGTTAGGGGGGCTAAAGCCCCCCTAAAAATGGCCTAGCGACGCCCATGCCTAACAGTAAGAACTGTAACATACTAATCATATACATGGAGCAGGGGCAGCTTAACTTGTCTGGGGGCCCTTGGCTTACATGGGTGGGGCTGGGGGGGCTAAGTGAGCTATTTTTTGGAGCCAATGCTAATGAAAGCATGGGGTGTCAGTGTTACGGGTCCCAGAAAGCGGTACCGGGGTAACAATTATAATCTGCATTAAAAAGAAAAGAGTTGCAGCAACAAGGACATGTGCATTGCGTTTCGTGATAAATTGTCTCTTTTATTAAACATTTTAAACTGTATCCTGTCATTCTCATTTCAGATCAATTACTTCAGTCCCAACATGAGTACTTCTACTTACTGCTCTGATTCACTGTAGTCAGCTTTTAACACATTTTTATGCAAAATTACATTCATTCAATAGGCTAATGAAAATACTTTTCGTTCACCACCATTTACAGTTTATGCTTTCAATTCCACATAATGCAATTATGGGTCGTATTCAGGCATGATTATGTATTTCGTTAAATGTGGATGGAGTTCAAATGAGAGTGGAGAATGGAGATGAATTTCCTGCCAGATAAGCCGTCAAAAACATTAGATATTTCAGATCACTGTACCAGAACATTCTCTTCATTGTGTAGAAAAATAAATTACTAAATGTGTATAAGGAATGATACTGTGTAATTTTCTTTGGTTATTAAAGTCAATGACTTCCTTGTTCATGAACTAGTAAACCAATGACGAGACAAATAAATATGTTCTCGTTCGGGGCTCATCGTCTACATGTCACAGTTTATCAGTTTTATATGGATTAAATGCAGCTTTCGTGTAGTGCAACAGTGATAAATGTCTTCTAAATGTGCAAACGCAATGTAATATTTCTGCTGCACATTTACTTTGACGGAACTACGTCTTTTCCCCCTTCGCAGTGGCGTGCACAGACATTTTGGGGGGCAAGTGCTCCAGGGGGAAAAAAGGGCACTTTTTGCATATGTGGAAAACCTTTTCTTTTTATAATAAAAAAAACGCACAGGTTAAATGCAATTTGACTTTTATTTCAAAACATTCTCTAAAANTGGAAGTTAATATTTCACAGACTAAACTTTTGGCTGACGTCACCCAACCTACCTCTTTCCAGAAGAATTCTAAAAAGGAAACAGATAAGGCAATGGGAGAAGGAGGAGCTACTAGGACCGCGGCAGGCGGTGTGCTGAGTGCCAGAAAACTAAAATACAGGCTAGAGCTCTTGTGCAATTATATTACAATACACAAGTGTATATATTTTTAAATCTGTTACACTAGCATACCCTGGACTTTCATCACTAGATTTGTCTAATCGCTTAGTTTTGGATTGTCAGATTATGATTTTGCCCATTGCCTGTAGTGTGTGTGCATTTGTAGGAACTTCCACTGTTTACTGTTCTGGTGTGTTTCGGTTAGTCAGGGAGTCAGGGAAGTGCTTGTCTTTTATTTGACCGTTATTTTTGGTTACGGAAGCTAGCTGGGGGTCGGGGAGGGGGGGGGGTGGCTGTCACAGTTAGTCCGGTTCGGTTTGTTATTTTGGCCTCGGGTCACTTCTGAAGTCTAAGCTTGGTTTGTCGTTGTCCATGTTGCTATTACCTAAATGATCACTGCCTTTTACCATCCATCTGTCTTGTCTTCCTTTTTTTCTCTTCTCCATTTTCACTCGCAACATCCTATTACTGCCCTTCCCCTAGATGGCGTCATAACACATGGAAATAAGAATTAGGTAGGAAAAAGAATAAAAGAAATTTAATACAAGCAACAGATTATTAAGCAGCAAGTGGAAATAAAAATAAACTAAGAGTATTGTTAAAATGAATAAATTAAGAATGGACTTGACAAAGACATGGGAGAACCTCAAATTCAGTTGAAAGGAAGAGAAAAAAGGTGGGTCTTTAATTTAGATTTAAACTCGTCAGTAGTAGAGCAGGACTTAATGTTGGATGGGAGTCTATTCCAAAGTCTGGGGGCAGCGGCAGAGAAAGTCCGGTCACCTTTGGTCCTGAGACGAGAGTGGGGGACTGAATGGAGGAGATGTGAGGGTGACCTGAGTGACTAAGGAGCAGAATATGGAATTAGCATATGTGATATGTATTAGGAGGCTAATCCATTGAGTGTGTTCAAAATAGATGTAAAAACTGCAGCCGTACTGCAGCTCCACATTCCTTAATATCATATTATCGTGTCAGAGAGAGAGCAGGTCTCACCATGTGCAAACGTGTCACAGTCTGTAAACTCTGGCAAAGCAGACTTACTTTCGTACCTCAAATTTACTACTGTAAGTCATTTATTTTTGTGATAGCACTGTAAGCTTTGTATTTATCTTTTATATAAATTGTGATTGCTAATGCTGTGGCTCTTAGCCAAAAGGTAAACTTGTTCATGGGTACCAGTCTGGGATAGTTGTACTGGTATTTCTCCACTTCTCAAGCCCAAGAAACTTCTGCATTGTGTTCGTGTGGAACATTTCAAAGTCAAAGGAAAACTGGGTGATGGCCTCTCAATCAGCCAATAACAGCGGGTCCCCAGGATTGCAGCTGAGAACCACTGTTTATGATTGGCTGATTGAGAGATCATCCCAGAAATTCACAGCGGCTCTCCATGGATCACATCCCCACCCCTGTAATAGACTGTCCAAGGTGGGTCCATCAAGCCAGTACACCAGTTTGATACACCAGTCACCAGTGTGATTCTGATAGTGACTAACATGTCACACATACACACACAGACATACACACTATTATTCAGTTATTAAAACTGTTGCACAGTTGCACATATTGTTTAGTTTCATTATGATCTTTGATATTAGTTGTGATTGTACACATATGCATGCAGACCCACATAGTTGTGATTGTACACATATGCATGCAGACCCACAAATTTTCCTTCCTCGATACAGAGAATATCAGGGGTCGCTCCCCTACATACTCTGGGGGTTCAAGTTACTGGGTTAATGTCCCAGTGTGGTAGGGGTTCAAGTCCCCTACGGAGAGTGCAGCACTGTAAAATAAGTAAATGAATGTATAAACTATAATAGTGTCGAGTTGCCTAGGTTCGGAATCTTTCTGTACTGTTTTGGAATCATTTTGTTCATGTTTAGGATCTTTTCGTTTGGGCATAAAGGACCCTGCAAAAACTTTTGAGTGAGCTCAAAGGGTTTGAGGCCCTAATCCTGACATGAATATTATATTGGTTCTCCTTGCCTTGTATGTTAGAATGTGTTTTATGTATGTGGTATGTAGTTCAGTTTATAGAAAATTGTGATACTTGGGATCGTTTGATAAATGGACCGGGTGAATTATGAGATTTTATTAACTCATGTTCATCCATCCATCCAACCGCTTATCCTTCTGGGTTGCAGGGGGGGTCCAGAGCCCAGCCCAGAAACTATGGGCATAAGGCAGGGAAACAACCCAGGATGGGGGGCCAGCCCATCACATCCAATTAGCCTCAGCATGTTTTTGGACTGTCGATGGAAACCAGAGTACTCTGAGGAAACCCCACGACAACACGACGAGAACATGCAAACTCCACACACATGTAACCCAGGCGGAGACTTGAACCAAGGTCCCAGAGGTGTGAGGCAACAGTGCTAACCACTATCTCTACGCCACACACACCCAAACATAGTGAGATTGTCTGGATGTGCTTGTGGGGAAAACAGTAATGTACACTGGGCATTGTTGTTACTGGGGACAAAAGGGAAGCTGTAGAGCGTACAGCTCAGGGTTAGGAGTAGAAGGAATTTGGCAGAAAAGATAAGGAAGGAGAACTGCAGAGAACAGCAGCTGCAGTACAGATAACCTTATAGGCCGTTCTTGTGAATTAAATGCAATTAAATAACCGCCAAACTGAGCAGGTGCGTGCGCTCGAAAGGGGGCAGGATTTCCGCACAGGACTCTTCCCAGTCAGGAATTCCGCGTGGACTCAAGTAGTAGCACGAGTTCAGCCTATGGTTTCGGTAACAGCCTCAAGGCATGATAAAATGAACGTGATTGATGTTGTTTGCCTTTGTAGTTGTTTTCGCTTCACGACGGAAGGTAATGTTGAAATTTTTATCCCCTTCATTTTTGCGAATTTTACATCTGTGATTTGTTATTCGTGCGTTGGTAGAGAACAATTAAACAGGAATGTTTTCCATGCTTTATGGAAGATCACAGAAAACTGCGAATGATGCCAAAAACAATACTGAAACGACATAATCACGCAATATTTAAATATTCGTGATGCATAATATTTCTTATTAAAACTCTTGGCTTGGGTGGGCTGCGCCATGCGTCTTTGTTTCAGCAACCAGCTTCATTCTCTTTTCAAATTGCCAATATGCCGTTTATTTAGCATTTTTAATAATGGGTCCAAAACGTGGTGCTCCCAGTGCTTACAGTAGTAACTTTGTACATTCCTGGGACATTATTTAGATCGTTTATACATTAGAAATTGGTAATAAATTCCACCCTGTTAGGCAATGATTTAAAAAATATTTTAATCACAACAGTAAGGGTTTGGTATATTTGTATATTGTTTTGTTAAATGAGGTACATATAATGCATCTACATATACTTTTATTTCTAATTAATAAAATTCCTCATACAAGACAACAAAATGGGGGCAAAAAACACACAGATTCCATTATTCTGACATTTTGTACTCTTCATAAAATTAAAACTGTTAATGCTACAAGAATTAAACTTTTATCATAGCAAAAGGGACACATTGTATCCCAGAAAAGTTCAGTATTGTTTGACTTGTACATTATTTAAACTCTGTGATTATACCATGTACATGTCCCTAACAGGGTGGAAAACGTCTGGAGAAAAATATACAAAAAACATCCCATAATTATAATATTTTCAACCCCTGAGCTTGGCAAACATGCATTCCTCATAGCTAAGTATGGTATAGTCCTGACAAAATGTTTAAACCATAACATACAATCATTGCAATTTTCAGAAAACCGACAGTCAAATATGTGGTCCAAAACAGGAATTACCCACATTGTAATTGTAAATATCCAAAATATGAATTTCAGATAGATATCCTAGAGGTGTGTGCCAATACTTTTGTCCATATAGTGCAGAGGTCACTAACAGGCGGACCGCGGTCCAGGTCCGGACCCAGAAGCTGTCCCATACGGAACCGGACCGATAGTTGTTATTTAAAACCTGACGGGACACTTCTATTTTATCCGGCACAGCGTTTGTAGTCTTTTCGGTAGCGGTTTAGCATTAGAACCGCTATTTCCCAAGCTAATGAACGTCAAACGCCTTTAACCACCAAGCAAGACGTAGCTCGCCTTATGCAGCCATTTGTTTGCGCTAATGTGCCATGCGAACATCCGGAACCAAAATCCGTAATGTTCCTAATAGAGTGACTGCTCTGTCCTGAAATCATACAGCTGAAAAGTTTTCAAATACAGTATGTACATGTTGAAATAGACGTAGTTTATTGTTGATTTCATGTACGTTGAAGTTTCTGCTTTATAAAATATGTATAAAGTAATGTTATCTGTTATATAAATAAACTCAGGTGAAACAAAAAATGTACGTTTTCATGGCTGCCAAATCTCAAGCATCTGGCATGACACGCTTTCAGACTCAGGCTGGAAATCATACGGCAAATGTATATTATTCCATTATAAACCTAAAATTAGATACGTCAAAGGTGTATTTACACGGTTAAATACAAAAGCAGACCATTTACAAGGTAAGAACTGTTAGATATGTGTGCAGACATCTCGAATTGAAAATCTCACTCCAGCCAGCTGGCCGAAGTTCTATCTCACGTGACAATAAATTATGAATGAATTTTGAATTGTACTGAATTAATTTGATTTGACAGTCAGGTACTGATTATATGCAGTGTTGATACAACTAATAGGCTACTTAAATATATATCACACTAAATAGTTAGATAATATGATCTTCCGGAGCTTTGCTTCAAGAAATTTTCTGTAACTGGACCTCTTGAAATTTTAGTTAAATACCCCTGATATAGTGTATATGCAATACTGTTTTTTACTAGTCGAAATACAGTTCTTACTATTACAGATGAGAATTCATACTTGAAAAAAATGAATCATCGTTATATGGAATTTTTATTAGTAGGATACTAGTAAAATTTTATTTTTTACTTTATATTTAGATTATTTTTACTAGTAAAAATCATTATGACGACTAAACGCCGTTTAGATCACAGAACCCCAACGGCAATGTCTGTTCTGAGAGTAACATCCCCGCACAGGATCACCAGATGTTCCTTATTCTGTTTTATTGACTCGTCTCTGGCCAGCGGGGGTCCAAGGCCGCTAATCCCCTCGTTCTTCCTTACCTTGCGCAAAGACTCCTCCCGCGTTAATTATTTCTGACAACTTATAGGCTACTTGCTCCTACTAAAACAACATCATCTTATAGGATATAATGTTATAAAACGCATTTCTCCCTCAGTTTTAGGGCTCTATGCTAACCTTTTTCAAGAAGCACTTGAATGAACTACAGAACATACATCATTATATCAACAGTTGAAGAACATAAACGATTTCTGTTTTCAGAGCTCCGAGAAGCCCTGGTACTTGTCTGGTAATGAGCCGCGCTGCGCATCCATTCCCATATTCTGTAATCCCCGTAATATCAGACAGCAGCGCGCTCCTCACCTCTCGCTTTCTTCTCTCTGCAGCTATTCGGGTGGTAAACGGGCCGGTATCCGTCACTGAAGGGGGCAGCGCTAATTTATCCTGCAGACTGACTGAGACTGATGAAGATCTGGAGCAGGTAACATGGCAAAAAAGGACGCGAGGAATTCCTGACAATCACAACTTCTTGGTCATCTTACCCCCCCGGGATGTAAGAAATGTCAACGGATTAGGGAATCGGGCCCGATTTATTGGGAATTTAACTATGAAAACTGGATCAATTCAGATTTTGAATGTATCGCTGCATGATGAAGGCGTGTATACCTGCATCTTCACGGTGTTTCCAAGCGGGCCGCACCAGACAGAAACTCGGCTGACAGTTCATGGTAAGTTTGTCTTTGTTACTAAGAAACACCCTGCTTAATAAAGTTTGGAAAAATTAAATGTAAAGAAACTGTATTTGTGCATAATGATGATAACAGCAAACGGAAAGATGACCAGGGGACTGTATCACGAAACCGTCACATACATTGTATGTTTGTCTACTTCCACCTGCTTCCTGGATTGTGCTTGAAGGAAATATGTAATATGAAGGAAAAAACAAAATAGCGCCCAAACAAACTCCACCCACCCAATCTATCCTAATCCGTACTTGTCCCACATTCACCCACACGTACAATTTCTAGAAGTATTGGATGGATCACCTGTAAATGTCAGTTCACTGACGTATTTTTACCTGAATGCTCTGAGTCCTTGTTGTGACATGTAGGTCTAAAACTACACTTACACATTTATTGCACGTTCCACTAATATTTGCACAGTCCCCCCCCCCAATTGGGTGGATAACTGTAATATTTTGTATGTGTCAATCATTTAAATTATTTATGTTATTCATATGCCTAGATATTTATATTCCATGCATTCGTCATTTGCAGTATGGCCAATACAGGTGCTCCTTGACTTACGATGGGGTTACATTTTGATGAAGTCATTGTAAGTTGAAAATATCACAAGTTGAATATGAATATTATACGATAAGTAAATATCTACTGTTACTGAATAAGTAAATAATTACTGTAACTGATTAAATATCAGTAATTGAAAAGTAAATACATTAATACAAGTTTATTTGGTTAAATACAGAAAAAAACACTGTACAATACGTTGGTAAACACTGTACCAGATGTTTAGACTCATGATCGCTACAGAGAGGGGGCCCTTTCACTTTCAGGGGGCACTTGCGCAATGATCTTCTGCCCCTAACCCTCGCGAATGTGAAGGGGTTATACTGAAATGTGTAATATTTACCAAATATACAGCTTGCCCGAACTTGAATAATTTCTTGATTTTCATGCGTTCTAGTGTTAATTGTGAAATGAAAAATGAAATTTGTCACTTTAGTAACGTAATGAGAGCTCAACTGTATGCATCTGTGGTGGCGGCAGTGGGTTAGTACAGTGTAGTGTAGTTTCTTTCTTGGTTTCAGAAACCGTTTTCTGTCTGATTGTAGTTGTGGGGATTTGAGAAACTGACTTGCAACTTGACTCAGACTCGCAACTCAGACAAACGTGACAGAGTAGACAGTCTATTTATATGAATTGTATATTATGTTAGTAGCGTGTGAGGAGGGGAGTAAAGGAAGGAGATTCGAGTCCTGATAGCTATGGGGAAAAAAACTGCTGGTGAAATGTTTAGTCTTATTGGGCAGTGACCTGCAGCAGTTCCTTGAGGGAGGGAGCTGTAAGAGGTGGTGAGCAGGATGTGTGGTCAGAGAGGATCATCTTTGCTTGCTGTACGCTATGCTGACTGTATCCTGAGCAGACTGGCTGGCTTAATAAGCAAATTGATATGGGTCCATCAGTTGGGAAGTACAGGATTTCAAGTATAGCAGAATGATGCACTCATTCTTTCATATCCACAGTTACAAGGGCATCTGGTCTGGAGTCATTGAGTCAGATCTTTGAGGACTTTGGCTTTGGAATGATGGTAGAGAGTTTGAAGCTCTGTACATATTACATATTAAATCTGGTGGAAAATACTGGGGCCAACTGAGCTACACTGAGGCTCAGCAAGGCAGTGCTGATCCTGTCTGGACCTGCTGCTTTCCTGAAGATCAACTTCTTGAATGCAGCTCTCACCTCATCCTGCAGGAGGCAGAAGGGTGGCAGTGGAGTGGGAGCAGGGGGGTGGCTGGTGGAATAGCTGTTTCAGACCTTGCATGAAACTCGTTTAATTTGTCTGGCAGGTTAGGATGATTATTCCAAGCTGAGCTATGGTGCTTTTGTATGCTTTTCAGCAAATCCTCACGATAAGCTGATTCGATTGTGCTAAACCAGGCTTCAGTAACAAACAGTGCAGTTTGGAACAAATGGCAGCATTGAACAATTTCGGGGAAGATTCACATGCTGTATTTGTCACGTCTCTGAACAAACAATCCAGTATTTTATTAAATAAGGTTTATCAGCCTGTCTTTGGCCTATATCAGTGTCTGTTTTGTGCTGTTTTTCATGTATTAGTTCAGTATTTATCCTGCACAGGTAAGCAGAAACACAGGCAAAGGTCTTGCCTTTTCCAGTTTTCTTGGTACTCTTATGTAAGAATGCCTCAGATTCAGCTCTTTGCCGAACACACTGTGTGGGATGTTTCGTTGACTCAGTCTGTGTGACAGTTCGTCCTGTAGTGACAGTAACACCTGCGGCGCCCCTGGTGGTCGGAGGAGAGAGTGGCATCTTAGCGACCTGCATTGCTGCCAATGGACACCCAGCAGCAGGGGTGTCATGGCGCACAGACCAGCTGGATGGCCCGACTGAGATCCAGAATAACGCGACACAGAACCCCAACGGCACCACAACCGTCAGGAGCTACCTGCTGGTGACCCCCACCAGGTCCATGAATGGCCGAGAGGTGCAGTGTGTGGTGAATCATACAGCCCTGGAGCATGAGGAGATTGTGCCGTACAGGATCTCACTGCACTGTGAGTACTGCTGGGAGGCCAAACCCACTGCAAGTCAGTCACTGTTTACAGTGGAATGTACTTCAGACATAGACAGTAATCATTTTACAATAAATTTACCGAGAGGGTGAGTCTTTGCTGCATTTGCTGAAAATTATTGTTAATATTATTCTTATGTTCTTTTACTTAAAGCCACAAATTCACACTGTAAGTCAATATTTCACTTAATGTGTTTTAATTGTCAGTTTCTGTGTGCCAAAGCCTTATTAACAACAACAAAACACTGAAATGAAGGTCAAGCTCAGTAAGATACCAAACTTGTGAACTTACCACTCATAGGATAGCTTTTAAAAAAAAAAAAAAAAAACTTTTACTTTCTTAAAACAAAACAGCAACCACAAAAAATGATCGTGTTGGCCCAAGTATAAGACGGGTATTTTTTTCTCAGAATATGTATGAAAAAGTGAGGTCGTCTTGTATTTGGAGTCTTTACAAAAAAGGGAATAGTGTGAAATAAGATATGTTGCAACGAATATTTTGACTTCCTGTAATATAGATTTCCTGTAAGATTTCGTGTGTAGTGTCAGAGCAGAAGTGTGAAACCTGACAACCTTGGCACTGCGTGTGTTTAGTGTGTATCCCTGAGTGTCAAGCTGCTGCTAGTATTAAGACGATAGTGGCTGTTAATAAAGACAGCAAATCCATTTAGAGAGAGCTGTCACATCATTTATTAATATGGCTCAACCTTCCTCTGCAGGACATTTTTTACCCTCGTCATGTGGGTCTGCTGTATCGGTATGTGGGTAAACCTTTTTCCCAAAATATGGTGGTTCTGCTTTGCTGGTGAGAATGGGAGGGAGCTGCCTTTTCACATGATCCCTCAAGTTAACCGCGTTGCTGGAAAAGGGAGGGATCTTTGGACTCCTTTGGTCCCCAATCGAAATCCTGGCATGTTACAGCCACTGTGCCTTAACACTCCCCATACGGATGTGTCTGTTACACAAAACCAAGAACCAAGAGTTTTCAGATAATGGGTCACTGTGGAGAACAGTTATGGATGTTACTTATTGATTTTACATAACTTGAAAATTATCATTATGTGGTCCCAGTACTACACTCATGCAAAACATCCTTGGTGTTTAGTAACTAACTAGTTCTTTATGGTTTTGGCCTCTGTATTTCTGGGTAGACAGTGTAGACACTGTCTTTCACCTCTTGGCTTAGAGTGGACAGTGAAGTACTTGGTCCTAAATGCAAGGGGCATTTAGACTGTATTAGTAATAGTACTAATAATAATGTGATGCTGTCAGCATGAGCCAGCAGAAGGCAGCCTTTTGCACACTAATGATGATTCAAGTTCTTCATGGAAAAAATATTCACTGAGGGGGATTTCAAATGGCAGGAATAAGCTCTTCTTTTTACAGATGTTACCCGAGGCTACTATGGAGGCCTGATTGCAGCTATTTTGGTCTCATTTTCTGCACTTATTCTCTTGAGCTTCTACACATGGAAGACAGTGTTACAGCGGAGGTAACTTCACTTGAATTATCTTGCTGAGATGAGCATGATTCTGATTTGGACTGAAGCACATCTCTTAGCTGACTGATGTCTGTGTTTCTGTAGGAATCCAAGAAGATCAAGGTCACACCAGGTACACATGAGCTAAATGTTATAACCAGCTTTAATTTGCTACTGATGTGAGACTCCTTCACAGAAACAGTCTCAATTTAAAATCATGGAGGACGTGAACATGCAGGAACAACAACAGGAAGAAGAAGAACAAGAAGAGGAATCACAAGAACAAGAATCACAGTTTAATCCTCTTCCTCAGCAATCACAGTTACATCCTTCCCCTCAACGTGCCCGGGCCCGGATTTTAACTCGAACGTAGTCATTCTAGCCACTTCGCCTTCCCCTCATAGTTCTTTTGTTTCTGCTTGGTTGTGTTTGTGTTTGTATAAAAATCCTTAGGTTCACTCATTGGCTGTGTCCGTTTGGTCCCTCCATCCCACTTCCACGACAACAAAGCAACCTTACCTTTGGGTCTGGCTTCAGAGCCTCCATTTGTCCAGAGGATTGTAATATAGTATGGTATTTGATGTTCCTGCTAGATAGATAGATAGATAGATAGATAGATAGATAGATAGATAGATAGATAGATAAATGAGATGTTTAGAGCCTCATGGCAGCAAGACATATGTTTGAAAACATTATATAAAATGATGTAGGAACTGGAGACACAGGCTCCTCTAGCCTGGGAACTGGAGACGTGAGTTTCTCTGGATCGAGAACAAGCTCTTCTGGATTGGGAACTGGATTTTTGGTCCTCTTCTGTCTCCAGGTCTTCTCATGAGTAGAGGACGTGACCTTCTTGGAAGGCAATGTCCCTTCCTCAGGGATGCCTTACTCAGCTGCTGCATATCAAGCAGGGCGTCCTTGATCGCAACCACCTTCTGGGGGTCCGACGAGTCCCATCAGACTCTCCCCAATCTGCTGGAGCAGAGAGACATTTGCAGGGAAACCTGCAAACGGTGTTGCAGACTGGCCATCCAGGACCGAAGTTAGCGAACCCTGTTCTGAGGACACAAGGGACCCTTGTATACATGGAACTTCAAGGAAACAACATTACATAGCTTGGGTGTTAATGATCCAGTGTATGTAAAAATCAGGTCACATATAACCGTAACTGTATAAAGTTTTAGTGAATAACTCTTCCCTGAATATCAAGAACAGTTTGTAAACAAATTGACCTTTTTCTGTCGTTATAAAATAATTTTATCACTGGTTCTCTGGCGAGCTGGAAGTTGCTCTTTTCACATTAAACATCCTGAAAGTAGAATTTTAAGGAAAAATCATTTGAAAATATTAACATTATAAAAATATAAAACATTATATCAATTTAAAATTATTTTTCAATCTAAATAGTGAATTATAAATAATAATATTAATAATATTGTACAATGTTTTATAATGGCATGCTAAGTCAAAATATACCTTTTATAGGTACAGCAAAGCACCCCCCTCTGAAATTAAAAGCAATGGTAGGCCAGGGGAGGGGGGCATTGTGGGATTGCTGTTGTGTCTTAGGCCTTAGGCACGAAGATGCTGTTTTGAATCTGGCGCAGTGTGTCCTTGTCTCACAGCCGCATGCACGTAGTCAGCTGAACAGGCCAAGAGACGTTGGAGAGACGGACAGATGGAAACATCTGCAGGAAGCGGGGGGGGGGGGGACTGCAGAAGGGGTTCGAAACTGCAATGGGAGTGTGCAGAAAGCTGTACATCTAGAATGTAGCTGCAATATGTTATGTGATAGCGTTTAAGTGCATAAGCATGAATCATCATGCACCCAAACTATATAAGCTTGATAGTAGAGGCCCACTGGGAAAATAGCATATTATGAGTATCAAGCAAATTGGGTGGTTAGATGAAAGGTGAACACCCTGATACCAAAATGGTGGAGGATAATGTTTGTTGTATGTTTGAAGCTTGGCTTGTGGGTATTTTGTGACCAATCAGGACTTAGAGGTCCTTATAGGGGATTGGGTGTTACAGTACAGATGCTCCACTACTTACTCCTCTACTTAAGGGAAGTATCTTTAGACTCTGCGTAAAACATGTTATTTTCTGTTCCCCAGTCAAAATACTGCCACATTTCTGAACGCATATAACCATTGTGCCTTAACACTCCCCCTGTGGATGTGTCTGTTACACAAAACCAAGACTGCAGCTTTCAGATAACGGGTTGCTGCACAGAACACTTATGGCTGTTAATTATTCATTTTACATAACTCAAAAATTATCATTATGTGGTCCCAGTACTACACTCATGTAAAACATCTTTGGTGTTTAGTAGTCAGTTCTTTATGTGTTTGGCCTGTGTGTTTCTGGGTAATGTAGTATTGATGCTGTTTTTCACCTCTTGGCTTAGAGTGGACAGTGAAGTACTCGGTCCTTCACTCAGACCAGAGGGAGGCAGACTGGTGTTTTTAAAGAGGGACCCTGAGCTGAATGGCCTGTATGTATTGTGAGGCATCAAACCAGTATGGCCAAGTTACTGGGACCCTCTTTGTATATACAGGTAAGGATCAGTGCAAGGGGCATTTAGACTGTATTAGTAATAGTACTAATAATAATGTGACGCTGTCAGCATGAGCCAGCAGAGGGCAGCCTTGTGCACACTAATGATGATTCAAGTTCTTCATGGGAAAAATATGCACTGAGGAGGATTTCAAATAGCAGGAATAAGCTCTTTTTACAGATGTTGCCCCGATGCTACTATGGAGGCCTGATTGCAGCCATTTTTGTCTTGTTTTTTACACTTATTCTCTTGAGCTTCTACACATGGAAGACAGTGTTACAGCGGAGGTAACTTCATTTGAATTATCTTGCTGAGATGAGCATGATTCTGAATTGGAGTGAAGCACATTTCTTAGCTGACTGGTGTCTGTGTTTCTGTAGGAATCCAAGAAGATCAAGGTTACACCAGGTACACATGAGCTAAATGTTATAACCAGCTTTGATTTGCTACTGCTGTGAGACCCCTTCGCAGAAACAGTCACAGTATTAAAAAATTGTTTGGATGCTGGCAGGAGAACGTGGGCATGCAGGAACTGTGACAAAAGGAATGACAAGTACATCCTTCTCCTCAGTGTGCCACGGCTGAGATTTGAACCTAACATGTTCTGGGCTAAGGGGTATATGCAGCCTTGTCATTCTAGCTGAGGGTACTATGGGACAATGACACACGAAAGTGACCAGGAACTACGAAAAAATTACAAAAAATAAAAAATAGAATCTGGTTTAAAAAATACATATTATTGTAGATTAGTATATGCAGTTGTGGGAAGGATGCATTTTCAGCCTAGTTTTGAAAGTACCACACAGGAGTGAATTACAGTAATCTATTCTACTTGAAACAAAACAATTTATTCGTTTTTAACAGTCAACATATGACAGTGTAACTGGTGTAATAACTTCTGCGTTGTGTTATGTGTTAAGGATGACCCGAGGCCATCTGAACTGCTGCGTTGGAGTTTTATTCTCTGCACAAAGCATATTAAAATAATTCGTTGGTCTTCCATACACACATCTCCATCTCCTAAAACAGCCCACAAACACAGGGTTACAACTCGATAGCGAACCCACGCAAACATAGCTAATTTCGCTGTGATGGTAACCACATGTGGCGGGTTAGCAAAACACAACAAAAAAAAAATACATTTACACAATTAATATTA